ATCCTATCCTTCCCCAGGGAGACGCGTCCACCCGCTGATTCTATCTCGATCAAACTTTGGGGAGGACAGGGGTGCATCATAGGACCCGCCATCGAACGCATGATGTTGCAGCTACCCTTCCCTGTTGAGGCACTTTTTCTCTGAGAGGTCGCGCTCTTTGGAGCCTAGGAACGCAGGAGCATGGCTGGTCCTATGACGCAACCCTGTCCCGCCAGCCACAGGATAGGATCAGGGGGGGGGGGGGGGACGCGTCCTCTAAGGGAGGATAGGATACTGCCCCATTTGTGCCGCTAGCGCGCCTCCACATTCCGGCCGGGCCATCCTCTTCAATAGTTAAAGGTGAACTGTGCTATATGGTTGGAGGATGTCATTAGACGCTAACCTCTTGATGTTTCAATCTTTTACTCCTTTGTCGTCATTCCCTAGCTCTACTTTGCAGGGTTTCATGGTAGCGGAACCTGAACAAGTCATGAAGTTCGAGATTCTTCGAACAACCGGCAGAGCACGTCATGGTCTGTTATCACTGCCCCATAGTGAAGTCAAAACACCTGTATTTATGCCGGTGGGAACTCAAGGGACAATGAAGGTGCGCAGTGATTTCTTTCCTAGTTGAAAGCCAACTGCTTTTGAGTATTTTAAAGTCCAGCCTAAATGTTCGTAGAACTGATTGCTCGCCATTTGAACAGCAAGTCATTTTGGAAGCATCAGACAATTCTTTTTTCACTTTGGATCGCTTTTTCTAGAAATAACTGTTCTGGGACTTCGCTTTCAAAAATTGGTAATATTATTGGTTTTAGTGTAGTTTTAGTCTTTTATTTCTGAGAAGTTCAACGACATTTAAGAGCTTTGTAGGTGGACACTTGGCATGACTAAGCACATCTTATCTCAGTGTACTCTGTAATCCTATCACAGTATCGATCCAACAATAAGCTCTGTCACTGCTACGTCTTATGATTAGATGAGGGACGTCCAGTGATACGCTTCCTCGGCGAACCGAATATATTTTCAGGGTGTTTTACCTGAGCAGCTGATTGCAATGGACTGTCGGATTCTACTGTGTAATACATACCATCTTGGACACAGACCTGGCCATGAGCGTGTTCAAAAAGCTGGGGGTTTGCATAAAATGATCAATTGGCCGCGATCGATTCTGACAGACTCTGGTGGATTTCAGGTTATGATTTTTTTTGTAAAAAAATTCAAGTTGGAATATATTGCCCGGGCGAGATGCAGTGAAGTTCAAGGGTACAATTTACGGTTAGCTGACTAGGTATGGGTTATTGCGTCTGAAAATGAATGTTTTATGACGATTAGTCAGCCCTTAAAGGCGGATTTTACGATGAAAAGGCAGCTCATTGGAAATTAGGTTACAGATGGTCAGTGATGCACGAAAGAAGAAAAAACTGAGAAAATGGGAAACCGAGAAATGGGACCCCTTCCTTGCCCGTTGATTTGCGCATTGATGCGACTCTCATCGGTGCTGCCCTCTTCAACGCTAACGCTCTCTCTGCTGAACGGCTAGAGACTCAGACACGAGACGACGCGAGAAGTGGGCCGATAGCGCGCCAATTGCGCCGGGGAAGGCCATGCTAGATCGCCAGGGGCATATCCTTCGATGCGAATTGCGTGTCGGTCCGCATCAAGGTGATCCCTACGTTGTTACTAGTAACAACGGGGAGGATCGTACTTGGTTGAGTTTGTAGGTTTGTTCAAATCCACCTTGGGCGAGGGGAGGCTCGTCAAAAATTTGTCACACACTTGTAACAACGAGTAGGGTTGCGCTAGGTCCGCACCTAGCCGGTGTCGATTGTCTTCCTCCACTAGGTATGGCTTCTCCCTTTTTTTCGACCTTCGTCCTTATCGGTGGACATTCTATCTCTTAAAGCCACAACCTCCGATGACGGTTGTGTCGCAAACAAATCTACTCATTTGATCTGGAGGATAGAGAAACCGCTGCTATTCACATTGTGCCTTCTCGCGCATCAAAAAGTCCGTGACAATGGCCGCTACGCCTTCAAGCTTCGACTATTAAACCTGCTAAGATGGCCATGAACAAGATTACCTTCCACGGCACGCCCCATGACATGCAACCCTGATACGGGCGGCGTCTATATCCAATACGTCGACGGGTTAGTGAAGGTTGTGAAGCAAACCGGAAGATTTCGCACAATTGCGTGTTGGAAGTACCGCCCTACCTTCTACTTTAGAAAGGCGCAATAATTCAAGACGCTTATAACTTGATGAAGGTAATTCCACTCAAATGTGATGTAGGGGCGGGAGAGTGGACCGCCAGTGGAGAAAAAAAGAAAAAAAAATCGTGAAATACACAGGAAATACGAGCCTTTTGCTCTACGTTGCGGAGAAAGTTCAAAAGGCCGGCAGGGAGATGAGAGATAATGTGAGCGCGGAGAGCGGTAGAGAAATCCGAGAAGAGAGAGCATAGCAGATCAGCATTGCGACGCAGACAAAATATCGAGCGGTGGGCGGAGCGTGTCGCAACAGGAGGAGCGTGTCAAAGTCCTTGGCCCCTAGCGCCTTAGTGACGCATTTGGATGCGGGAACTTGGCGAGTCGCCTGCAGTTGCGTCCCATGCACTTCTAGCCACTTTTAAGGGCTTATTAGGTGGGTCTGACCCCGAACTTTGCCTTTAAGTTCTTCGTAGAGTTTCGCAGATGGAGACATTTCGTTCAGAGTAAAGCACT